CAGTTGAAAGCTTCAGATTAAGCTTCTTACATTTGAGTTTTATAATGAATTTACAGCAGCTGGAAATGAATGCTGGAAAAATAACCAATTCATTCATTAGGTTACTCCATCAACAGAAAGCTGTTAGTCAACAATTGATATTGTAATTTATTTCTAAGTTTCTTCTAGTTTAACCATCCGTTGTTAGAATTTGTTCTGTGATCATTACCTTTGGGTTTTATATAGTTGGTGGACATATTTTCTGATGTTATAGAGGTAACAATACTACTGGGACATTTATATCCGACAATGTCTATGTTCTGTTAAAAAGATATTACCAGTAATTGAATTACCATCAGTGAGATATATTGTATTCAAATCATGGACAGAGATTTGAATAAATGAACACACACTGGCCAGTTTTTTAAAAACACATTCACACCTATTCTTCCCCCTAAATGCCACTAACTCACACACAAAGGTACACAAATGTGTGCCCTTGCCTGGCTTTCTGCAGAAAAAGCCACACTCCTAAAAAAATATGGAAGAGGTGACTCAGTGAGTACGATGAGTCTACTCAAACAGGACTAAGGCACTAAAAACTGCATACACACAAACGGAAACCACACAAGTAGGGATGTCCCGCAGGCTGCCATTTCTGGCTGTCATTCCAGCTAAGCATCGAGGCAGAAGGACAGAGAGGGAGAGAGGCGGGTGGGGAAGGGTGGTGGGGGGGGGGTGACACAATGAAGGCTCACAGGGAGACAGGAAGCAGATGGTGCAGATGAGGCTGCGGTCTTTAATGAACTACTGCGCTGTCGAGGCGGAGAGGAGAGGAGAGAGAAAGGAAGAGGGTAGGAGGCAATATACAGCAAAGCCGTGAAATACCTCAATACTTCTGCCACTAAAAATACTTTCAACCCACCTGTATTACTAATGTTCAACACTCGGAAAATCCAAACTGTTCTCCAAATAAAGTACATAATGCCTCTTTTCAAGAAAGGATCTTACAACAAAAAAGGAAAAAGTGAAGTTAAGCCAAAGAAGCATGGAGGGAAGGGGAAGATGGAAAGAGTCTGTCACTCGGTAAATACATCGAAGCAGACAGGACAGTATTCATCTCAGGAATAGTTTGTCTGTGCAGAGTAAGGCCGCTGTGGTCTTCCACCAGCATGACAGAGCCAGCTGCCGGTGCACTGGCTGCCTGAAAGACTTTCTACACCTGTCGATCAAAGCCTGTTTGAACCTCGCCGGGTATAAGGTCAGACGACATGTTCATACATATAGAAACACAAACAATCTCAACATATAGCAGAAACTGGGTCAATTAATTGTACTGGGGACATTCACAGCAAGCATTAAGGCCCCTTGCTGTTTCCGATGATACTTGTTCTTCGTCATTGCCATCATCTTTGCTGCTGTGGTAATGAGGTTTCCCTAGTGGCAGGCCAGGGTCAGCTAATGGTCGGCCAGCAGGGGAGTAAGACCCTCAGTAAGACCCTCATAGTTAGCAACAACCGTCTCTCCTTGAAGCCTCTGGTCTATCCCTGCCCTCCAAACATCATCTATCAAGGCAAGTTTTGGTCGAAACTGGAGACAAACATTCACCAAGAGATCTTTAAGGAGTCTTAGATACATTCAAATAAATAAAAACCTATTTATTATCGGCAGCTGAATGTGTTATTCAAATAGATTCTTAAGGAACGCACAACACCATTAGCACCTCCAAAGCTGATAATGTATGGAAGATGAATTGCTGTTTACAATTTAAGCAATAAAGGATATTAACCAATACGCAGGCTTTACTGTTTTCACATCCATCACTGCACAATACATCAGGTTATTTTCCATACATGTTCAAATTAAAAGAATCTCTCTAATGTTGTTTTTCTTACTTTCATATTATATCTGTCCACCAGGAACGCTCATATTTTGCACTCCTTTAATACTTTTTAATCTTCTGATATGTTCTTGAATAACCATCATTAATTCAATTATCGATTGAATATAATGTACTTTTTATTCAACTAATGAGTCAAATACATAATTTACTTAAAGGGGACCTATCATGCAAAATGCACTTTTGTACGTCTTTTATACATGAATATGTGTCCCCTCCCCGGTGTGTCAGGGAACACACCCCTCTCTCTTTTCCTCCATACCCAAATCTCTAAAAACGGGGCTGCAACGGATCTGATACAGATTTGAAATTCTTCTGACGTCAGAAATAGGGAGCTCCGCCTATATGGGCAACTCTCCACCTATCAAGGGAATGGGGGGTTGGGCCACGGCCATTGCTGCTGGAAAGCACTGGAGACGCTGTAGTACATATGCCAGGCCTGTAGGTGGCGCTGTAGTCTGCCACAAAAGCAGCGAATAAGACTTCTCACAGAATCAATCCTTGCAAAAACAGGGCTGGAAAAGAGCAAATAGAGCGAAATGAGGCATGGCTAAAATGCATGATCCGTTTGGTATTTTGAAAAAAAAACTTCGCTGACATGTTTTATATAGGTATGGCCCTACAATATATTATTGAAATATAGCATGATAGGTCCACTTTAAAGTACTTATGCTGCGCACAGCACCTCCATGATAAAACTGTCCTTTTTATATTTTATAAATGAGTAATAAATTATACTTATGGTTATTAATGTAAGCAACAGAAGATTGAGAAAAGTGCTTAAAATGTACAACTCCTATGTGTTTAAAAAAAAAGTTTTATTTAAGGTAAAAATAAAACGGATATAAAAAGGATTGGTCTTGTAGTATGAAGATGTTTGTCGGGAGAACCCCAACTGAGATGTAAGCATTTGGACTTTGCAGGGTGTTATTAAATCACATTTATTAGATCAAACTTTTCTGAAGAGGGCAGACGATGGAAAGAAAGGAAGGAGAGAGAAAACAAAGAAACGGAGTGAAGACAGGAATTATGAGAATGTGACAAAGGATCGATAGAGAAGAAACCAGAGCACTCTGTGTGTACATTACTTTAACATCTATGTTTCTGAGCCGGCATCACACACGGTCCAAAGAAACTAAAGTGAGGCATGAGACCAGATGACTGCAGGGCGATTTCATCTGGATAACAACAACCATACTTCTATGGCTAACGTCAAAATAACATCTCTCTGCTCTTCTAAAGTTCATGCTCTTACAAAATCCTTTATTCCACAAACCCTATTAAGGCGAAGGTAGACCATTAACACATGTGATATGTGCTGCAAAAATAGAGTTCATCATATCAGGTGATATAGGACATTCAGTCAGCACCACATCAAACACAAGTCCAACATTCCATCTCTTTGTGGAAAGCACAAATGCCATTAGCTGCAGTAAAAAAGGGAACATTATATCAAGATGTAAAATGTTCCTTCTCTGGAGGTGCTCAGAAGAAAAAAGAATGTCTGTCATGAAAATAATCAAGGGAAGGTTAAATGAATAAACGCCCCACTTTGACCGTTTATGTTCCTGCAAATAGACAGAAAATGGAACTTGTGGTCCAAAGCTATGACCTCTGAAGTGTGCATGTGTGTATGAACTCAAAGATACTGTCAAACCTCTCTTATGCACACAGCTCACAATCATTCTAGGCTGAGGTCCCAATGCTAACTTCAAGTCAACAAACACACATGGAACTAAGCAGAAAGAGAAGAGAGGCCAGCGGTTATTATGCTTGGACCGAAGTCCTGTTCTGTTGTACTCTAAAGTGTCGACTGGGCCTGGTTACAGACACAAGGTGGACCACAAAACGTCTCTTTAATTGGACTGAAGTGAAACGTAGTCCAGATGGCTTTAATAGACAGTAATGGCTTGAGGGACACATTGTGATTTTGTCTGTGTCCAGCGTTCTCATTCCCACACCTCTTTCCTTTACTCTCTCACACTGCTAGTTCCCATTATTCAACCGCGATGGTCTCTCATCACTATTCAATCAGTGCATTTCTATATTGTGACTGTCTCAACCTCACTTACACCCATCTTTTCATACCTCTCTCACACTTGGCAGCCTGAACTTTGGCATTTAGGTATTTACAATTACCCTCGGGATTATGTCAAGGATCGTTTAATATAAAATATGTTGTTATTTGAACGTCTTTTAAAATGTTTTTAAAAAGTTAGGAAAGAGAAAGATATATTGAGAAAATGCATTGCTGTAGGGCTGCACCATTTGGAAAAAAATAAGATATTCAGGGTATATGCAGGAATCCTGAAGTCAAATGTAAGACCTTTTTTAAGACCCTTCCATACATTTCAAGCCCTCATCGCCACTTAACCGGTTACATTGGCGACACACTTTACCTCACATTTACTATATACAGTATTGATTGTCCTTCCTCCTTATCTTCCAACCATTTGGACGCAAACTTGCATTTCTCCATAACGATGTTGTTTAACAACCGGCGAAAACGGACCTTCGCACGCTATCAAGCAGTGAGCGTGCGATGTCCTGTTCAGAATCAGAATCAGAAACAGGTTTATTGCCGGGTAGGATCGCTCAAACTAGGAATTTGACTTGATGTCATGGTGCATACATAAAATATAAAAAACAAGAAATCTATAAAACAAAAAATATTTTACACCGTAATAAAATACAGTTAAATAGCAATACAAATTAAATAAAGCAGTCATTTACATGGAAACAGAATTGTATTAAACACATTTTAGAATATAAACTATGAAATGTGAAATATGAATAGATGACGTCAAACCCAACGGGATGCCATAAATAAACTACAAAGAATCACACTACACACCTACGCAATGATTACATTCAGGCAGACTGTAGAATACAACCTCTTTGGACAAGTTATATACTTATTGAAAACAAGCTACAAAATGTAATACCTTGGAAAATGCAGTTTAAGAATTTTTAATAGCCTACATTTTCACTAAATTGATTTATCAACATTTAATACTTTTGAAAACCCCGCGGCCACCCTGGATATTCCATATCATGCCCACTTGTTTTATTCGGGTAACTGCGGCAGGTTTATAATCGTGCTCTGGATGAAGGACCTTACCAGTAAGACACGTCCAGGGGGTGAAAGCAGCGCCTAGAGATGAGGTCAGCGAAGACGGACTCAGTCTCACGACATGCTGTCCCGTTGCCGATGACAACATTAGTACAGCTAGTACATAAAAGTGGAAAAGGACAATGAGGATTAGGACACCAAACGTAAACAGATTCTAAAATAAGGTTAATTTTAAAATGATCTTTCCTTGTTTAAATATCAGGTCATTCATCAGAAAACAATCAGGATGATTTTGAGTTATTTCTACTGCTACATAAATGGAATGGAAATGTTATTGCTACAACATTCCTATAACAGGAATGTTATAGCAATATAACATTAATCAACTCAGCTAAGACAGTATATTTGTAACAGTCACCACTAAAACACAAGCAGCAGTACCTGTATGTCATCATTAGGTGGCGCAGTTTGTCCACTTCTCTTTGCTGGCCTGAATTATGCAGGTAGACAACATCAGTATGGATGATCTGACCTGAGAGCAGGGAGATGAAGACAAACAGGGAAAGAGAAAATTCAATGTTGATGATAAATGTATATTATGACTAGAGGGGGCTTACATCTACATGCTACCACTGGCTCAGATAATGAAGAACAACACAATAAGTTACCATAGCTATGCGGATGACACATAAATTTACGTAACAATTTCACCGGGAGACTATGCTCCAATTCAAACACTGAGTAAGTGCATTGAACAAATCAATGAGTGGATGTGTCAGAACTTTCTCCAATTAAACAAAAATAAAACTGAGGTAATGGTTTTTGGAGCCAAGGCAGAACATATAAAAGCTAAAGCTGAGCTTCAGTCTGCAATTTTCAAAACAACAGATAAACCCAGAAATCTAGTTGTAGTCATGGACTCTGACCTGAGTTTCAACAGTCACATTAAAACAGTTACTAAATCAGCTTACTATCATCTAACGCAGTGTTTCTCAACCTTTTTCCACCAAGTACCACCTGAGAAAAATAGTTGGCTCTCCAAGTACCACCATATGACCAATGTTAAAATACAGTCTATGCACAGTTCATGCAGGACTCGGAGGCAAATGTATTCATAATACCATTATTTATTGTGTTCTCTCTCACTCACTCACTCACTCACTTACTCACACACACACCACAAGTGAGAATATAAAGAACAAAATAATAACTTATTCTCACACAACAAATGTCAACTGTACACACGTCATTTCCTGGACCTATACCAAAGTGTGAATGTAGGCTTCCTGCAACAACCCACATCGAAACAGAAAATGTCCTATTGGGAATTCAATTCCAATAATAATGAAGCCTCCAGGAGCAGATGAGCCTAAGGGCTAATAGCTCATCTTCAGTCTGCTGATGTTTGCTATTGCCATTTCTGTGGTGGCGAAGTAAAAAAGAAAAGAAAAAACATAAGAAAAAAGATAACAATTAAGGACAAGTGTGTGCTTTTTCAGCTTTTGACTTCTCTCCATCCTTTGAGCAAATGCCTTCTTCCTGAGTCACTTCTCTCCTCCATCACAGCGGCTGTGCATATCACTTTTGTGTTGCTGGCGGAGCCTGCGCTTGTACTCGGTTGATGACTGTCCTCCTCCTCATTCACTTGTTCACTTTCGCTGGTAATATTCTCCTCTGTACCTCTCCCGAATACCTCCCGTTTTGAGCCACGTTTTTAACATCATTCAGCTTTCTTCTTTCTTTAGCTTGCTTGCAACG